ATGATGACGACCAGCGCAAACAGAACACGGATGAGAAAAAAAAACGATGACACAGGCGCTGTCTAACAACTGAATGTTTAATTAAAAAAACAGATTAACAACAAAACCACACTTCCCCCAAAGATAACCAACAGACGTAGAAAAACTCATGCGTAGACTAACTGCAACTGCGCACGTTCCAGGAAGGCCACTTCCCCAGTCAATCAAAGCAGCTCACGCACGTGTCCTCTCTTCTTAATTATTTGGGAACGCCTCCGTCATTCTTGAGCACGCTGGCTCTTGTGCCACGAGTGTCTTACACAGCTCGGATGCACAGCCTCACTCGCGGCTATGGAGGGCAAGGTGCGAAGTCGGTGCAGCCCTTCAAACAACCAAGCATGCTCTCTCAAACAGACGTTGAGACAGCCTCCTCCTCATCTGTCCTAGGAACTGCCTCAAGACAACGGTGTGATGCACACAACGCGGCAAGCGCAGTCAACGAACAGTGTGGCGTGCTACATAAAGCACTACAAACGTCATCCCCCTCTTTTTTGCGCCCTTCCTGTTAATGGAAGCGCTGACGCTTCGGAGCTTCATGATGTCGCGAAAGACGACATTCACGTCGAAATGACCGGCCACCTTCTCAAGGCGCTGGGAAACAGTGTGCAAATATGGAATGATTGTAATCTTGTCAATGGAGGGCGCGCCGTCTTCACACCTTGGCATCCATTGCCGACAGTGCGGCTACGCACCCGAGCTGCGTTAGATGGTAGCAATGGCTATCGGCACAAAGACCCTTCAAAAAAAAAAAAAAAAAAAACACGTGCTTCAGCTGTCCTTCTATCGCCTTGATTGATGAGGAAGTGGCTTTCCTGGAACGCGCGCAGTTGTTTCAGTCTACGCATGAGTTTTTCAATGTTTGTTGCTTATATTGGGAGGGGGTGTGTGGTGTGGTTCTAAATGCGGAGCATTTCTTAGCGAACTTCGGCGACTTTGAGCGTATCTATCTATCTATCTATCTATCTATCTATCTATCTATCTATCTATCTATCTATCTATCTATCTATCTATCTATCTATCTATCTATCTATCTATCTATCTATCTATCTATCTATCTATCTATCTATCTATCTATCTATCTATCTATCTATCTATCTATCTATCTATCTATCCTATCTATCTATCTATCTATCTATCTATCATCTATCTATCTATCTATCTATCTATCTATCTATCTATCTATCTATCTATCTATCTATCTATCTATCTATCTATCTATCTATCTATCTATCTATCTATCTAGCTATCTAGCTAGCTAGCTAGCTAGCTAGCCGCTTACGTTTGGGTGCTCTCGAGGTCACCCCCTTAACTTAGTGTAAACCAAAATTAGCATGGGAGGGTAAGATGGTTTCACGAATATGACACGCTGGTCAAGACATGAATATTGTCATAATCCCGTCGCGTACGTCGTCAAACATTTCCCGCCAAACAGTGGCACATACCCACGGGCGGGTGTGTGCCGCTGGTATGCTGGTATGTGCCACAGGTGGTTGACACTTAGTATCTGCCGAGGAACGACGAGAACACACATGGACAATTTTAACACGTGAGCGTTAAGAAATACCCGGCATCCACAGCGTCGACCCAATGAATACAATGAATATTAGGGTCCAGCTGGAATCGAACCCAGGTATTCTGCGTGGCAATGAATCATTTTACCACATAGCTACGCCAGGTCACGAGACGACTTTTCAAATAGGCGCTAATCTTCGGTAAACGTCAATAGTGGTTGCAGTGCTGCCTAGCCAATTTTATAAACATTACACATGTACTATTTTGATACAGCCTTCACGTCGGGTTAACGTCAGATGTGGTTAATTTCCATGCGCCGAAGTTGATTTATGGGTGCACGTTAAAGAACCCCAGGTGGTCTAAATTTCCGGAGCCCTCCATTACGGCGTCTCTCATAATCATATAGTGGTTTTGGGACGTTAAACCCCACATATAAATAAATAAGTTGATTTATGTAGCAGTGTCCAGTGCAAGCATCTTCGCGGGCATCAGCGCTTCATATCAGCTTCTGGTGTTGCTAATACGCATGTTCCAGTTGGCATCGTTGCGCAAGTGCAAACAACTTGTTATATAAACATTTCAACTTTTCGACATACGTCTGTGCGTGCAACATTTGTACATATATTTAGCGTCATTTCATGACGTGTCGCTCAATAAAAAACTGCAACACGGTCACCTTCCCTCCGCATGCTTCGCATAACGTCAATTCTCAGGTACGTGGGATCTGCCGAATTTTTCGTTGTTAATCTCTTTCCTACCCATACATAGCTTTCATGTTTTTTTTTTCCATTAAACATTCAGTTAGACAGCGCCTGTGTCGTAGTTTCTTCTCGTCTGTGTACTGTTTGAGTTGGCTGCCAGCGGCATTGTTCAACTCGCCCAACTCGCTGCCCTTTTACCAATGTCTGTTCACACCGTTCCTGGGCAGGTATAAACTGCCAGTCACCCGTGGCTCATACCCGCATACCGCGGTTCATGGTATGTGGGTATGTACCCCTTGTGCCTTGAGGAGAGGGTTTGACGACATACGTGACAGGATTTTCATATTGTTCATGTCATGGTCAGACAGTCGTATTCGTCGTACACTCGCACCCTCCTATGCCGAATTCGGTCAGCACCAAGAAGCCGATCACGAGAGCTGCCAGACGTAGGCGGATAAATAGACAGACAGACAGACAGACAGACAGACAGACAGACAGACAGACAGACAGACAGACGGACGGACGGACGGACGGACGGACGGACGGACGGACGGACGGACGGACGGACGGACAGACAGACAGACAGACAGACAGACAGACAGACAGACAGACAGACAGACAGACAGACAGACAGATAGATAGATAGATAGATAGATAGATAGATAGATAGATAGATAGATAGATAGATAGATAGATAGATAGATAGATAGATAGATAGATTAGATAGTGGAAACGTTCAAATTGCCTTAGGTTGCGCAAAGCAGTGCTTCACATTCAAAATGTTTTGTTAAGGCTGAAGCTTTAGATGCCTCATCAAGCACAAGAAGCGTCCGCCGGCGGTGAAAACGCGAGTGATGCAAGGAAAATAATTATGAGGATGACGTTACAATATAATGTCATCGCGAAGTCTATGACGTCACACTGGCACGTCATGACATAACCGCTTGGCCAAAGGTGAGCCGATCTCGGAGGCAGCGCTGAACCACGTGAGTTGCAGAAAGCTGTCAGGGGTGAGGTTATCAATAAAATATACTGAAAAAAGAAAATATGGATTTTGCCTTCGAGTCCTCTCAGGGGAACGCATCGCGAATCATGCGAATTTCGTTCTGGAAACTAGGATTGGTTTTATTGTACTGGGCAGATACATAACCGTGCTTTTGAAAGCAACGCGGAACAGTTTATCGAACAACACCTTGGTAGTCGGAAACGACGTATACTATCATTTTGGAGAGAATCCCATGTCTCTCGCAATGTATAGTTTGCGACGAAAGTTTGTTGCGAGAACATACGAAAGGTTACAAAAGTTTGCTATTTCATGCAATGTTTGTGTCATCTGCTTTCGCATTGTCGCATTAACGTGTTACCCACAATAAAATTGCCCGGTGCGACAACTTCATTTGTTCTCACCTTCTCCCCGCAATTAACAGCAACACCTCCCTACCTAATAGCGTATATGCTTGTGCAGCTGCCACGCGGTTGAATAAAGTCGACTCTACTGAACTGACTGTCAACAACGACCAGTCAGAGATGCTTCTGGTACAAATCACCATTCTCAAGGATATGCGTAAATCTTTACTATACAGCACGGAAAGCTTTCGCGGCATGAGCAAAAAAAAAAAAAAAAAACGCCAGGCCTGCGCGGTATATATAGGCGCAGCACAGTCGTAGCGAAAGCTAGAAGAGTGACCTTTCAGAGCCTTTTCAAAACACACATTGGGTAACTACTGCAAGCACTCTTTCTTAGTACCGGTACTCTGGGCATTAAGGTTAAATTTTGGGTAGTATGCCGGCATTCACTATGCTATTTTTTGCCATTCTTCTGAGAAGCGCAGTATCCGCTAAACACTTCCAAGGAATATTTGTGCGAATTGTCCATGCAGTAGCTGACGACGATGAGGAACTATGGCTGAAGTGGGTATGCGCCACAGTTAATAGGGGAACAAGAACAAGCTTTTGCGATGAAAAAAAAAATTCTTGCGCAGCTCAGTGAGCTTGTGGGTAGCGGTGGCACGTATGGTGTAAAACCAATTACACCGCTTGGACAATTCGTGTTGGCGCCCGATCTACGCCGAATTTTTCAGACACATGAAACTTGGAGGGTATTGGACACACGAAACTCATGATACACAGTAGTTAATACGTGAGACATACTTATAAGGCTATACTTATACACTATAACTCCCGTATAGGTATGAAGTGTCCTGAGCGTCTGGCGAAAGCGCGCTGCAGAATTGAGCGATGTGTATGTTGCAGGCGTGAAGTGTATAAGCATGCGTATACTTCGGCAGCTTTCGAGAAAGCGAGTATATCTTGGGTGTCACAAATAATTATAGTGCATTATTAGAGAGAACTAAAATTACGTGAAGGAAAGTGGAGGGGCTGTTACTAAATGTAATTGTAATGTAAATGTGAAGAAAAAAAAACTTGACGGAAAGATAACTTGCCTACGGCAAGTTACGGCAAGTTATCTTTTCATCCACCTTTTTCAAAGTGCTAAGTGTGGCGTGTGGCCTTCTCAGTGCTAAGTGGCGTGTATGTGGCGTGCAATAGTGACGTGTAGTCCCCTTTCACCCACATTAGCGCTAAGTTCGGCGTGTAGCCTCTACGCCAAAGACCGGTGCCCCTTGCACCATTCAAGTGTTCAAATGGAGCGAAGGATTCGGACAACCAGGCGCGTGGTTGGTTGGTGACACTTGATGTCACTCCTTTTGTCGGAATGAGTTCGATGGAGCATTAACGCTTTCGCAGGTCACCGACAGCAGCCGAGAAGAGGCAGCGATGAGCGAGTTCGCCGAAAAGGACAAGTGGGTCTGTCCCAACGACCGGGAGCTGGCGTTGCGGGCAAAGTGAGTCTACTTGTGCCGTTTCTATAATCGCCCCGAAAAATTTCCGGTTATAGGGGTTACATGTGGAGCTGTGATGAAGTCGTAGATAATTATACAATGTGTGCGGTGTACGTAAACTTCATAAGAATTGTAATAAAAAATTGTTTCTGACAGGCGGAGAATTGTTATGCATAATCTCCGCGTAAGGACCACTAATATTCACGCGATAACGTCAAAGAGCTCGTTTGGCAGAAATTCTAGCGTCGACGTCGTTGATTCTTAGAGAAAAATCAGCGTTTCTCCATGAGCGAGAATTCGAGATAGATGCAAACAAATGAAAAAACTTCGTTTCCAGTAGAAATTGAACGCAGGCTTTGAGCGTGGCAAGCACATGCTCTACCACAGAGCCAACCCATCGCTGGAAACTGATTTGAAAAAAAAAAAAAAAAAAACGTTTATGAATGTTGTGTAATGTGAGGAGTCTCGTTAACACATGTAATGACGCGTGACAGAATTGTATACAATCGCGCCAGGCGTCAAGACTTGTGAATTTATAAAGTGAGGGCGTTAAGGACTCACCCATTACAAATCACTCAGACGTTTTCAATCATCAGCAAAAAAAAAAAACCCACAAAAAACTTGAGCAGCTGACCTCACGGTCGCATAGTGGGTATTTCGTAAATTCGCAAAAGGGGGCACTTCGCTGTTGTACTTGCAGCAGGCATTCTAGGACAGCTTGAAAGGGCGCAATGTTGCACGTACAGTACTGGTCAAACGTTTTTAGGCCTCATCATATCCTCCTCTTTCTTTCCCCTTTCCCCATACCACCGTGAGGAGTAGCAGGCCGGAAACCCGCTTTCAAGGCTGACCTCTCCTCCTTCTTCTCATTAAACGCCTTCTTCTTTATAGGCCACGCTTCCGTAGAAATACACGGGATAGTGGCCTGGGAACTTTTCACCTTCCTGTACATACGTTTTCCTACCTTGCAGTGAGTCATGGTTGAGCTGTCGATGGGCGAAGGCAGCCGTCTTATTCGGGGAGAGGGGGGCACCCCTTTTATCTGGAGTTGGAGTCAGGCAGGCAGATGTGGCCGAGTGTCCGTTTGTGCGCTCAATACTATGGCGAAAAAATATCGGGGAAGGGAAGTTGTGGGCACGGGTTCGGTGTGCCACCCCTTGGCCGAAGTCCACTGCCGAGAGGCGTGGCTATGAATTGAGAAGGCGATGCGAACAAGGCCCGATTGCACAATCGGGTTGTGTTCTTGAGGCGAAATTACAACATCCTCTAATTTTTCACAATTCCCCCCTTCGACTTAAAAAAAACAAAACAAAAACAGGTGGACATGGTTGCGACAGAATTCTGTGGATATTCCTGTGGTGCGTTTGCAAAAAAAACTTGCTGGGTTCGCTTCTCAAATGCATCGGCACTTTTCCGCGTTATGCAATGAATTTTCTCTCTATAAGGACGAAGAAGTTGCGTTCGAAATCGGGACTCTTCAGTAGAATTGTCGTTCCGTATCTTCCGCTTACACAGATCTTATTTATCTCATACAGCAATCAAATCCTGATATAATTTTACTTCAAGAGTCTTGGCTTTCAGTAAACCAAACATTTACTCTGAAATATTTTCGAACTATTAGACTGGATCGGCCAGGTAGAGGAGGTGGATTATTGGCTCTAATATCTTAAAAAATGTGTCATCATGTTACTGTAACTTTTGAACATATTTGTCCGGATTGTGAATTGTTAGGAATAGATTGTTTGTTACCTGACTCCAACAGAATTACAGTGATTAATGCGTACTTTCCGAATGGAGTAAGACGCACAGATCACCTAGATTGTGTTATCAAGAATTCTTCGTCAAATTCAATTTTATTGGCTGGGGATTTTAACTCGCATCACACATCTTGGGGGCTTAAAACAGATGGCTGTGGCAAAAGATTGTGGAATTGGTTGCAGGATAATAATTTTCGCTGTCATAACTCTGGACAAGTTACCTTTCTACGCGGGATAAGCTCATCAACATTAAACCTAACATTTTCGTGTGGCCAGTTTATGATTTCATCGAGGGAAACGTTTGATAATGGGACGAGTAGTGATCATGTACCAATTACCTATGAAATCATGCTACCACAACTTACCTCTGCTATCCGGCAACAACGGTTCACCAACTATAAAATTTATAAAACTGTTTTAAACGCCGCGCTCTCGTCATTGAGGGGACGCGTCGGACAGCAAAGAGCTGCTTTAGTCGTAGAGTGTCTAAGTGACTCTGTCCAGCCGGCAGAGTTTACTGTTAAGTACGGCAGCACACCGTCAAATTCAGCTTGGTGGAATGAAGATTGTACGCTTGCGTATAGGCGTCGTAAGGCTGCTTGGAAACGTTTACGCCACAACCATACTCCGAAAAATTGGGTTGACTATAAATTCCACGCAGCGCTGTTTAAACGTACAGTTGCAATAGCTAAAGATAAACACAATTCTGACTTACATTCGCGTTTATCAAAACCTGATAGAAGATCTGCCCTGTACAGGTTTCTCCTGAACAAAAAATCGACGCCGGTACCAGCATATTCGCATTCAGTAGTGCTGTCTCCTAAAGAGACAACAGATTTGTTAGAGGGCATCGCGAAAGGACTTCAAGCGCGTTTCGCTTCGTCATGCTTGAGACCTGTGACATTAAAAAGCGCAACCTCGGACTTTCGGGAGGTCACTATGGCTGAACTGGCAGATGTCATACTAACTGTAAAGCAAGCGGCTCCCGGTCCAGATCAGATTACAAACTCTATGAATAAATTGATATTTAATTCCCATCCCGAGGAGCTTTTGAATATTGTTAATTGCTCCTTACAGCACGCCTGGATTCCAAGCGCATGGAAAATTTCTAAAGTTGTGTTGCTGCGAAAAAATCCAAGCCTCGGATATGTCCTGGATAACATTCGGCCAATTTCGCTTACTTCAAACCTAGTTAAAATAATTGAAAGAATTCTTCATAAAAGGCTCAGTAAATTCATCGCTCGTCAGGACATCCTTTCACCAAGGCAAGTAGGATTTAGACAGGGGTGCTCTATATGGTCGGCTCATGTTGATTTGGAAAGCCGAATTCGCCTTGCAAAAGTATCTGGTGAGCTTTCTGCATTAGTCACGTTAGATATCGCAAAAGCCTACGATAGTGTGGAATACAGTACATTAATTTCAAGATTAGTGGACTGTGAGGTTCCCAAGTACATTATATCTTGGATTCAGGAGTTTCTCTTTGAGAGACAATTCTTTTGTTGCCACGAGGGAATTACTTCGGCTTTATATAAGCAAACAAGAGGTGTTCCGCAAGGATCAGTCCTGTCACCTCTTTTATTTAATATATTATTATCATCTATTCCCGTTCATAAAAATGTTCCTCTTTACGTCTACGCCGATGATATTGCTTTTTTCTCGTCATCCCGAGATATCAATAGTTTGTATCAAATCTTACAGTCATATTTGAGTGAGCTTGAGGTATGGCTTGGCGGGCTGTCTTTCTCACTTAATGTTAGCAAATGTGCTCTGCTTGTATTCCCTCTATCCGTTCCCGTATTTCTTTCACTGCATTATCGAAATGATCCGATTCCACAAGTAACAGCGCTAAAATATCTTGGTATTGTTTACGTGGACAATTTAAATTGGCAGCAACAAATAGAATCAAACACCCGTAAAGCAGAAAGCGCCGTAGGATTGCTCCGCCGGTTTTGCAATAGGAAGTCAGGGATGCGCAGGGATACGTTACTTATGATATACAAACTTTACGTACGCCCAATTCTGGAGTTTGGCTGCGTTCTGTTTTCTGGAAGTGCTGAGTACAAATTAAGACCTCTTATATTGCTAGAAAGGCAAGCTCTGCGGCTGTGTCTCGGGCTACCTAGGTGTGTCGCGATTGCGTGCTTTATTTGGAAGCTAGAATCATTCCACTTGATGCTAGATTTCGACAGCTTACTGTGCAAACGTTTTTAAAACTTTACGATGCACCCTTCTTCTGATCACAGACAGTTTTCATCCAACATCCAGTTTCTTTCTTTTAGCGCCCTTGGTTTCGTTATCAAAGACCCCAAGTCATTTTCGTCGAGTCTCTGTTATCAAATCTTCACGTTTCCCTACGGCATTTAACCCCCCAAACCCAATGCTCGGTGCCAGTTGACTTAATTTTCGATGATATTTTCCCGAAAAATGCCAAGTTACTTCCAAAGCATGTTCTGGAGGGCCTCCTTCAAGACCATCTCAGTCATTTTCCTAAATACGTAGTAATTTCGACGGACGCAACGCAAGATCTTCAGAAGGCTGGAGTAGGTATTTTTTCTCATCAGCTTAATTGGTCTTTTGCGCTCCGATTGCCTGACTTCACACCAATTTATCTCGCAGAATTCCTGGCTATTACATTGGCTCTTCGAAAACTAAATTATCAGCAATCAAAAGCTATTATTATTATTATTTCGGATGCTTTGTCTGTATGTACACATCTCACGTCCGCAAAGAATTCTCCTCTTCTCAGAATATTTTGGTCTCTCGTACCGCATAGCCTATCGGAAGTTCAGTTTATTTGGGTCCCCGGGCATGCTGGAATTGAACTAAATGAAATTGCTGATTCGCTCGCTTCGGCATCTTTAAATTTCCCGGTGGTACTAGTAGCTCCACAGTTTCCTTTTATTGCTGCCGAACGGTTCAAACGCCCGTTAATCTTAAAAATCAACGAAACGTCGCTTCTACAATCTGAAGAATTTCGCCACTTGCAATTCACATGGAACACCACAAAATGCCTTTCCCGTCAATGTGAGGTGACCCTCACAAGCTTTCGCTGTAGAGTTCCTCTGTTAAATTTTTTTCTCAACAAATCAGGATTTTCATTAACTAACCTATGTGTAGTTTGCAATGAACCGGAAACAATAGATCACTTTCTTCTCACATGCCGCCGCTTCGCCTCACTGCGCCGAATAATTCTTGAAAGACCGATTGGTATGCTCGGATTGCCAGTCAATACATCCACCCTATTAT